TCTGTACCTCTATCAGTTCTCAAGATTTTAATCTCATAACCACTTTGCTTTTCAACAAAAGTCTTAAATTGTTTGAAAACATCACATGCTTCAGACTTTTGCTTCAGAAAGTAAACCCATGTTTTTCTACTGAAATCATCAATGAAAGTAATAAAGTACTTACAACCTCCATGTGAGGGAACCTCCAACGAACACAGGTCTGAGTGAACAATCTCCAACTGTTTTGTAGCTCTCCTTGACTTGCCCACAGGGAAGGGATCTCTATGCTTCTTCCCAATCACACAAATCTCACATATACGATCAGGGACATTCACAACAGGTAAATCAGAAACAAGTTCCTTTCTCGCAAGATAGTGTAATCCAGAGAAATAGAAATGCCCAAATCGCATATGCCATAACCAATTTTCATCACAAACTTCAGAATTAAAGCAAGCAAGGAGAGTATGCTTAATTTTCAAAGGAAATAGTCGATTTTGAGACATATTTACCTTTGCAATCAAAACTCCTCTAGCATCTGCAATGGTACAACACCCCTGAGCAATATCTATCTTATATACTTTTTCTGACAACTGTCCCATACTCAACAAATTTTGGTGTAGTTCAGGAACATAGAACACATCGGATATAAAATTGTGAGTACCATCCTTCAATTGAATAGATATTTTACCTTTTCTCAAAATTGGCACTTTTGACTTATTGCCAAATGTCACTTCAGACCGGACTGATTCATCTAGTTCAGAAAACAATTCTTTCTTCCCCCACATATGGTTACTACACCCAGTATCCAAGAACCATATGTTCTTATCTGCAGAAAAACTACCGCTGGCTAAAAGTAAAGTTTCAGAACTCTCACCAGACTTTTCAGCAGTATTTTCAGCAATGTTTGCTTGATTTCCACGATTGTTGTCCTCATTATACCAACAATCCGCAATCTTGTGCCCATACTTGCCACAATTGTAGCAATGAAATGGAAATTTACCTTGTTTGGTATTACCTCCACCTCTTCCTTGGTTGGAGTTACCACGTCCTCCTCCTTGGTTGAAGTTACCACGACCTCTTCCACCAGAACCTCCCCTTCCTCTTCCACGACCTCTACTAGATCCTCCACCTCTTTGATTAGTGCCAGACACATTAAGGGTGACTTAACTCTTCAAAGCTTCTTCAGCTAGTGGTTCCGATTTTGACGCAATTCTGTCAATATGACTTTCTACCATACCTTTCAACTCTGCAATTGATAAGAGCTCGGTTTTGTGTGACTCTGTTATTGAAGCCACCACATGGTCATACTTCATCGGCATAGTTCGAAGAACTTTTTCAACCACTGCACCATCTTCAATCGTATCTCCGTATAACCTCATCTTATTTACTATATCAATAAGACGAGTGAAATACATATCTACTGTTTCTGTAGAGGTCATCTCACAATTATCGTACAACCTTCTCAACGACTGCAACTTAAACTTCTGTGGCCGATCGACTCCTTTGTGTGACACCTTTAAGATGTCCCAAGCTTGTTTTGCTGTTTGAGCACGAGCTAATTGCCCAAAAATTGAATAATGAACACCTTGGTGAATCTGACCCAAGGCCAATTTGTCTCGCCGTATACCGTCTGCATCAGCTCCTTCGGGTAGACTGGGATCAACAAAGCTCCAAAGATTTTGAGCTTGCAAATGTGTGGACATCATAATTTGCCAATAATTGTAATCGAGTTTCCCGTCCAATTTGGGACCCGTCCATACAATATTGAAATTTGGAGCCATATTTCACTACGGGAAATATCTCGGGGTTGAAAGGTTGAATTGACTGGCTCTGATACCAAATGTTAGATATATTAAATATAATATATTTAATATAATATATATTAAATATAATATAATATATCTATAATATATATATATATATATATATATATATATATATATATATATATATATATATATATATATATATATATATATATATATATATATTTGAGAAGAGAGAGAGGGGGAGGAATGCTTAACACTTGATTGATTTAGAATGCTTGAATACAAAGACTATTTATACTAATGATAATTAACTAACAAAGCCTAACAAAGCTAAAGATTAGGAAATGCTCCCTGTAATGCTAATATTGTGCTCCACGTACAACTAACATCAAGGCCACATTCCATTTGACTTAATGCATGATCCAAGTACTGCACCTTCCATTATTTCTAACAAACTAACTCATCTTACTTGGTTTAATATAATAATAATATTATTATTATAACAAAAGTACAATATTTTTATATTGAAAGTACTTTACATACATATATAATGTACCCTTAGTATATATAAAATATACATTTTTTTATGGTCCACACAATTGTGTGGACCATGTTCCATGTAATAAGGATTGATTTCTACTTAACTGGACCAATCCATCTATCAATCATTATTGTGTGGACCGTGGTCCACACAAGTTGCGTGAACCATATTTTGTATACTGTAAAATAATGCACATTCAGTATAAAAATAATGTACATTCAATATTAAAATAATATACATTAGATTCAGGGGATGTACATTATTTTTGTACTGAGTGTACATTATTTTATATAATGTACATTCAGTACAAAAATAATGTACATTTAGTATATTAAAAATGTACTTTTTGTTATGATGCACACAACATCATGTGGACCATGGTTCACACAATAATTTGCCTCCATCTATATACATGTTATTATGTCTGTTATATAAACTCCTACATTCAGCCCAAATTTGCAGCCCAATATAAAATCCAACAAACCCGGCCCATGCTTGACATAACCCAGATTAGAGACCACATGTCTCACTTCTTACCCTAACAACACCAGTACACCACAACGGAAAAAAATGGGTTCGTTGTCTCCCTCCAATCTCTTCTCTGTCGTCTTCCTCTCCATCTGTCATTGCATGTATATCTCTCTTGTTTAGCTACTATGTCCAGATTCCTCCAGGTTCTTTACTTCGATTTCTAGCAATTTCACTCCATCTTTCCAAAATAAAACCCTAAATACAACGTATACTTACCAAAGAATCCAAAAGACCAACAAAATTAAACAATAGTTAAGTGTTTTGGTTCTTATATGCAGTTGATTCTGAGGGCGTTACCGTTTTCGGACGAAAAAACCCTAGATCGCGAAATTTCAAAATCGCGATTTCAGAAAAATTCAAAGGTAATGCTTGTAATCTTTCTTTCTTTTTTTCGATCTAAATATTTTGATTTCACAATCCATTAAATCTGGTTTTATAGGTTTAGATAATAATATGAAATTAAATTTTATATTTTGAGATCTGAAATATGCATCTGTGTTTATCTAATTGCATGCATGGGATTTTTTTTTTCTTTTTTTGCTGGAATACAAAGATAAATTTTTTTAACAGTAATAATTTTAAAAAAAATTAAAGAGGACATTATCTTTGTGTTTATCTAATTGCATCCAGTGTTCCTGTATGCTAAAAAAATTTAAACCTGCTAGCAACCACCACTTTAATAGTCACTTATCCAATAGCAATTTATTATTATCTTACTTACATTATTGTATTTTTTATTAAAATCAGGGACTGATTTTGCTAAGCTTCAGTGTCCTAATCCAAATTGTGGAGGCATGATACCACAAGGTTGCTGAAATAATTACTTGGTGAAGAGGAGTTTGAACATTGGAAAAAGCTTGATGTTACAGAAAGCATTGGCTATGAACATGGCACTTAAATATTGCACTCTGTATCAACAGGTAAGCAAAAACATGGATCTGATGCCCATGTTTGATGTAGAAACCAATTAAATTCCTTTATAACATTATTTAATATTTTTGAGGTTTTTTCCTTTATATGAATTTAAAGCATGTATTTGATTGCTTAAATGCTATGTATATATAGTTAGGAAGTTGGAGAGATGAAAAGAACTCACTATCGACAAATAGTCACATTAGTCAAACCTTAACATCAACAATTAATGGTTGATAGAAGCCATAGGTGTATACCGAAAGTATTTGTACATGTAGGTATTGCGTACTGTGTAACTTGTATTTTACTCCTAAACTTTCATGTGTTTTTTTTTTCTTTCATATTATTATTTTTTTTTTTGTGGCATTGTTTACTTAAGTTTTTATATTATGATATAGTATTCAGCTACTCATCTATTTGAGTAAATACTAACATTTCAAAATGGAAGCAATTTTTTTTTTTTGTGATTTTATCAATCTGGTTCATCTATTTGAGCAAATACTAACATTCCAAAATAGAGGCAATTGATGGAGTTTTTTTTACAGTTTATTTTTTTCTGGATTTTATCAATCTGGTCTTTAAAATGTTACATGATTTTTTAACTTTTTTTGAGTTGGCCAAAACTGTGTACTTGTAAACTTTTATATATAGATTCAATATGTATGTGAATGTTTTGTTCTGTGTAAGTTAACTGGAAATTTGACCTAGGCATCATATGTTGATAATTCATGTATTCCTGTATTTGACCAAATACTAACACTTAAAAATAGTAGCAAGTGATGATACAGGAATCTGATGCCATTTTTTTTTTTAATGTAGAAACCTATGACATTCCTTTCTAACTTTCTTCACATTAGAATAGTAATTACATTACATAGAGTTTAAGTTCCCTTTTTTCCAGCTCTTATCAATCCGGTTTGTACTGTGTCAAACTGTCTACTTGTGAACTTTTATGTATACCTCCAATATGTATGAGAATGTTTTGCTCTGTCTAGATTAATAGATTAATTACAAATATGACTTTATAATCATAAGTAGCATATTACACATTAGAAGGCTTAGTACACTACTAAGAAACATTAAATGCTACTGCTAAAGATAAGTACATTAGGCTATGCTGCTAATGCAGCTTTCACAAAACTAAGAGCAAATCAGGAAAGTAGAATGGATCTACTTGGTAGCATTAAATTGCAGCCTATGCACATTTTTAGCCCTAACCAACAAAAACCAAAAACCAAAACCAGCAAAAACTTGTCCAATAGAACTGACTACTTTTCTTTCTTCACCACCACTTCCTTAGCCTTCTTCGATGGACCAACATTCTCAATGTCATTAAACAAAGACCTCTTGAGAGGAACATCATCAGCACCAACACCTAAACCATCTTCAATCTCATCCAAGCCAACAAATTTGTCAATAGATAAACCTTGAGACCCATCCTCCACCACAACACAGTCTTTATCATCACTACCATAGAATTCCTAAACGAAATATCATTAGGGACAATAAATAAAATCATTTTTTAAAAATTAACCAAAACATAATTTACAGAAATACCTTTGAACCTGCATCACCATCTGCATCCGCATCCTGAAAACCATTTTCATGAACAGAACAATTTTCTGGTTCTAAACTGGCAACTGAAAGACCTGAGCAGTGCTGTGTAAGCACTGCTTCATCCCTGCAAATCTTTAGGACTGTGAAAGCAGAATAGTAACTCTCTATCTGCTCCTTCTTCATAGCAACACGAAACAACATAGACATGTCCCACAAATAACCTAGCTCAGGTGGAATACACTTATTCCCCTACAAAGACTTAAAGGAAAAACACATGAACATTTAAACTACTATCCTCAATACCCATCTATGTTGTCTAAGTGTTGATACCTACCTCTGGATACTTAGCTTTTAAATTACCAGCTGAAACACCTACCAACTCTGCACACTCAGGATCCCATATAAGCATAGGAGCATCCCCAGTTTGATCAGCCACATGTATAATCACCCTATATCTCACAACTCCCTCATGACAGGAACTTTTACAGCCACCACAGTACATCATACCACCATCAGCAGCAACCTTTCTCTTGCAAGAATTACTTTTGCAAGAGATGTAATACCAGTCACTTAAACTCTCTACATCCACAATTTGTCCTGCGACCCAATACTCCCCTAGCTGCAAGTAATAATTAGGTAAATAAGTAACTTAGCTAAAAAAGGTAAAGGTGAACTAATGTAAACGGTCTTAAACCTTGGTAAATAAGTAACTTAGCTAATGACATTGCAGAATACATTACTTGTTTTTTGAAGTATATATCTTGAATAGAAGTAATTAACACATCATTAGCAAGCACAACACGCCCAAGATAAGTATCAGATAGCCTTGATTCAGAATCTATACACCGTAAAGGTGTATGGTCACTGTTATAGCTACTAACAGAAATCAGGAAAATGTATGTTAGTATAGAAAATTTATATTTCTTTAGAATAACAGTAAAAAGAGGTTAAAGAATCTAACCTGCTCCTTAACTCACGAAACTCTTTGCAAGAGTGTGAGAAAAAAAGCTGAGTAGCCCCAAAGGAGTTGCAGATACATACTTCACCATCTGCAAAAATGATTTTAGTCAATACAAACCTTGATAAAACTGAGTAGAAACATAGATGTAAATTAACAAAATAAATACATAGCACTCACTGTCCATGATTTTAGGTCGGCACAACTGAATCAAAACAATGACTGGATCATTAGCAGCTGAGTGGAAGTAAGGAGTTACTTGATCCACATGCTCGTCCCACAGTGTACACTTAATTTGTTTCTTACTACAAAAGATTTTAAAAACAGCAGATAATGGTTAAGATAAAATTATAAAATCAACATTAGTCAAACTTAGGGATTAAAAATAGAGTAAAGAATCATACCAAAGAGTCTTCTAGCACAAAGTCAATAAGCCTACTCTTTTTCCCAGTTATTGTCTTCTCCAGTGGTGAATATATCTCCACAATACGACCAATCACATCTGTATTTCAAAACAGCACAATATTAGTATATTAGTTAAATAAAGATTAACATCTCTTTTCTTGTTGTAAACTGACTGCATTTAGTAACAAATAGCTTTAACACTAACCTATCAACACTTTCTCATCAATTCCTTGCTTTGAAAGTATGGTTTCAAAACTTTTGAAGAGAAACATTGTTTTTGGGAAATTAACACACTTGTACTCCTTCACCAGAGTATCATGTTTGAATTTGATCAGGTAACGGTGACTGCTTGTTTTATATTTGAAGAAATTAGTGATGCATAGAAAGCTTCTAATGGCATACACTTTACACTCCTTGAATATGTTCTTACACTTAGGAACAATATCCTTAGGTATGTGGACATGGATGAAGACACCCTATATTTAAAACACACCCAAAAATATCAAGGTGAGATATCAGTCAGGTAAAATGGGTAGAAATAACACTACAGAGCATGCTAAGCTATAATTACAAACCTCTTGGTCATGAAATAGGCATTCCTGACTTCTTATTAATAGTTCATCTTTGATTTTAGTCACAAGATAAGATCGCACACAACGCAATCTTATAGCCTTGGTGCTCTGCTGAGTATGAAGCTGCATCCCAACAATAAACTGGCCAGACATTACCACATTGCACTCCAAAAAAACTCACCTCAGTACCTTAATCTTCAAATTCTGATATTCCTACTTGTAATCTATTTTGCAGAGCTTTGTGTTTGCATATCCAAGCTTAGAATGTGAATGTATTTATAAGCGTAGAAGTAAGCTGAGAAGTGTATAAAATATTTCAATAATTGTACTTTTAAGCACTCCCATACCTATTTAGGTTTTTCTACACGCTACCTAAACAAATTAGACTACTAACTCTGTAGTAGGTAGTAGGTAGTAGATAATATCCAATGGCCTAAAACCTAGGACTAAAATCACACGTCTCTCATTACAATCATATCAGGCGGGAGAAGCAAAATTTGAATTATCAATTTGAAAGAAAAAAAAAAAGAGGAAACATCATCTTTCCAGTGTATTGTTTGCTGAAATCTGATTGGCTGAACTGCGGCTTCCTTTATATATATATATAGATATAGATATCGGATATTGCTCGGGATGGATATTTGTACACCCAAGTTCTGGGGGTTCACAGTTTGTTCATTTTAATAAGAATTTAGATCACGATGTAGCTATAGATTGAGATTGTGTTAATAGAACTTGTTATATGTTAAGCAGTGATGTGATGAACACAATGCAAAATATTTATATTTGAACTATATATTTCCACTATTTTTGATGTATATATCTGTAAGTTTTGCATTCTATGTTCAGATTATGAATTTGCATTTATTAAATTATGAATTTTCTGTTATGTGATTATGAATTTACAGTTATGTAATTATGAATTTTCTGTTATTAGATTATGAATTGACAATTATGTAATTATGAATTTTCTGTTATGAGATTATGAATTTACAGTTATGTAATTATGGATATAGAGGTTACAACTATGGCCAGAAAATTCATAACTATAAATTCATAATCTCATAACAGAAAATTCATAATTATATAAATGTAAATTCATAATCTCATAACAGAAAATTCATAAATCCACATCTGCACATTCATAATTATATGTTCATAATTTATGGACTCTATATTCATAATATTTAAACCCTAAATTTAAAATAATAGATTTTTATAATTACATAACTTTGAATTCATAACCCTGAATATTCATAATTACATAACTTTAAATTCATAATGTCATAACAGAAAATTTAGAATTGTATAACTGTAAATTCATAATCTCAAAACACAAAATTCATAATTACATAACAGAAAATTCATAATATCATAGTAGAAAATTCATAAATCCATATGAACCCTATATTCATAATATTTGAAACCTAAATTAACAGTAATAGATTTTATATTCACATGTGCAAAATATTTGTTCACGTTACAAAATGAGAGATTCTGAAATTAGGGTACCAACAGTCATAATTTTCAAAATGAATTAATCACAAATTCACTGCTTCATGTTCACAACATTTTCAGACCCCAAAAACAATATAAATTCATTTCTTCTTCGAGACCTCCTTTGCTGCCTTCATAACATTGTTTTTTACAGTGTTCACACCTCATGTGATAATGTTTTATGCATATTTAGCTCTCAATTCACAAATGGGGTCAGCCTTAAAAAAAATATATTAAATAATCAGTTTAATGGGATGTTAAAACACAAAAAAATTAATGTAAGTTGAAACTACTATATCTTATACTCTTACATTTACACGAGTGTTTCTCTTGAACCCACTGTTCCAATTTTGCATAGTCCCCTTGTATGTTTCTAGGTGTCGCATGACATATATGCCACAGTCAATGGCATTGTCAAGCTCTTTCCAGTGAATGTTCAAGAGGTCTACAGGAAAGTTTTGTATCTTACGTAACAGGGGTAATTTCTCTGCAGTCAAGTATTCCTCTAAAGCAGTCATCTGGACAAAAATCAAACTGGTGTCATAATGGTTTATAGTAAATGTATATCAAATGATTAGAAGTTTAAGTTTATTAAGTTACGTAGACTTGGGCAATCTTGATATTTGTCAATTTGTGAAACATCAGTAGGCATGGATTTGTTGTCTATGATATCCACTTTTTTTGCACTGATGTTAATGCAGACAACGAAGTAGTGTCCGTGTCGAAGCACGGGGAAAAATATCGAATTTCAGAAGAAGAAGAAGTTAGAATTGAGAAAATAAAGCGTTGTTAATAAATAAAAGTTGAACGTGGGTAATTATAAATTACCAAATCAACATCACTGATGTAAAGATTCCTAAACTTGGTAATTTCATATTGTAACCTCTCATTGAAATTTTCCTTCCTCTTTTGAAGTGGAAGATCACTCATCCATTGATCAGTTGGGTCAAGTTGTAGCTAAGGGGAAAAAAATACGTATTAATAGCGAGTGATGGAATAATTACGGAGCGGACCTGGAGTGAAGAAATATGGAGCGGATCACACCCGGCATCGAGAGGACTACGCACGCGGTCGGACAGACCATGGAGGGGTCTACCTCACCGGGGTCCTCGGCTACTATGCACACGGAGTGACGAACTACCCCGAGGTCGGCCAACAGGGGCTCGGCACCCCGGGGTCGACCAGCGCGCCCGGTGTCGGCCGGCACATCCGGGGTCGGTCTACGCGGGGTCGACCACCCCGGGGTTGGCCTAGCGTGAGGTCGGCTCGTTGGCCTAGCGTGAGGTCGGCTCGTCATCGAGCCGACCGCCACGGGCTCGGCCTCGGCCGAGCCCATGGCCGAGCGCGAGTCCTCGTGTGGAGCGAGTCCCGCGGCGCGGGCCGCGGCTCCTCTTGCGTGACCCGGGCCCGGTCCGGCCACGGGGTATAAAAACACCCCCCGGTGTCCTATTCAAGTATCTTCTACTTTTCCTACAACATTTGTATCGTTATTACACGTCCCGAACCTCTGTAATAGCATTGTTCACTTCATTAATACAATATTTATTACTTTATTATTCGTTCGTCATATTCAATCTTATATACGGGTTGTATAATCCGGACCCCTGGGTTCATATAATCCATCATTGGTGCTCTTGTTGAGAGCGGCTGTACAAGCTTAAGCGCTCTCCCTACTATCATTCATCCACTGCGATGACGAGATCCGGGTCGAACACCCACAATTTGTATGATTCACGCAACACTCGCGACCTCTCCCTCGCTAATCACCCCAAACGGGACCACGACGAGTCGGCAGATCGTGCCCGTAGGGACGGGAGGGGACCTCAGAGATCAGATCAACGGGAATCGACGGGGGACAGTGGAGGACATTTGGGGTCGGCTCGACAACAACCGCCCCCACGGCGGGTCGGCGCCTCCCGTTCCGCCCCCGATTCCGACCCCCCAAATGGAGGCGGCCGCACGCGAGCAGGCGGCGACCGCGTCGCGGAGGGGCTCTGACGGGGTGCCCCGGCAACTCCACCCCGCCCTTTTCAAGGGGACGCAGTGGTCCGAGCACTAACGTGCCTCGAGCACCCAGGGCCGGAACGACAAGGCATGTCAACCTCAAGAGGACCGCCGCTCGGTGCGCCCACGCCGTGATCGGGGTCCTCGTCTAGCCCCACTGCGACACCTAACCCCGCTAACCCAGCCCGTGAATGTCATTCTAGACCACGCGGAGGACATGGGCATCATGTCGTTCCCCGAGGAGTGCTTAAAGATCTCACCCAAAGGTGACCCGAAGAAGTACTATCGTTTTCATCGGCATCACGGGCATGACACACACGGCCCAGAGGGATGAGACAGACCCGCCGAGAGGAAGAGGTGGGCACAGAGCCTATATGTAAGGGAGGTCGTCCGAAAACGATACCTCGCCCCGGAAAGGCGGAAGTTCTTGAGGAAGGAGGCCGAGACCTCCCCGAGATCGGCCACATAAGGGAGGTCCTGTACCCGGAGTGGCTTGCCAATGTGGTCCTCGCACCCAAGCCACCCACGTGGAGAATGTGTGTGGACTACACAGACCTCAACAAGATGTGCCCGATGGACCCCTTCCCGCTGCCCAACATCGACTAGCTGGTAGATTAAACGGCGGGGTGCGTGTTCATGAGCTTCTTAGACGCCTTCCGGGGGTACCACCAAACTTTCATGCACGAAGAGGACGAGGTGAAGACGGCATCCACAACCCCGGAAGGAGTCTTCTGTTACCGGGTCATGGCCTTCGGGCCCAAAAACGCGGGTGCCACATACACAAGGATGGTCGCGAAGGATTTCGAGAAGGTGCTCGGCCGAGACTGGCAAGCATACGTCGACGACATGATCGTGAAGAGCACCGAGGCCGACCTCCACACAACCGACCTGACCGAGGTACCCAGAAATCAAAACGAGGACGCGGATTTGCTCTCCAAGTTCGGGCTCGGTGCCCCGGAACACATCTCCAAGACAGCACGGATCGAAGACCTCCAGAGGTCCAGCTTGGAGGCCTACCTAGTCCTCCCCATACAAACCATCCCCCGTGCTGGTTAGACCACCTGGTGGAGTACAAGAAAATGACCACCCTACCAGCAGATGAGGCGGCAGTCAAGGCGGTCAAGAAGAGGTTGCCAACATATGTCATCCTTCATGAGCTCGCCCAAGAGGAGGACGCATCAAGGGGACTACCTGATGAG